CTGCTCCCAGTGATGATTTTCCATCGAGATACTGCGAGCAGATGAGAGATCGTATTAGCTAACAACATATCAGCGCTCCTCTGGTGTTTGGTAACTATTTGTCAGTAAACTTCGGGAAAAGGCTTGTACTTTGGAGGATGTCAGCTCTGGGAGGAACATTAGAGATGAGTTAGGCCAGTCTTCTGATTTTACAGAGGAAAACAGTGACACTTAGGGAATTAAATGCCTTGCCCAGGGCTTCCTTTCTCCCTTAAATTTGAAGAAAAAAACTGAAACCCCAGGCTCCACGCCAACAAGGACATTTCCCCACCACCTTGGGCTTCTTCCAATGAAACGGGGATGATTGGGTAAGCTTCCTTGTCACATCCCTAACACCCCCAGGGGAGGGAAAAACCTTGAATACCAAAGAAGGAAATCAACCCCATAATTACATCCAGAACTGACTCCAGACCAACCAGCATAAATACTGTGCTAGTTTCCATAAGAGCTATAGAAGAAGGAAGGGAAAGCCTGCATCAGCAATTAGAGACCTACATGTGGATCTGATGGGATGATACCACTTTCATAAAACACAAATAATAGAGAAAATAGCTATGATGGGAGGCAAAAATAAGAACAACTAATTGCTAAGAAGGACCACTTTAGCATCAATTGTTAATGCCATCCTGCTTTCCACCCCCGACCCCCACATATCTGGCATTGAAAAGTGAGCTGACTCATTGTATCTATTAAATTTTAGTAATAAGAATATTAACCACATTGCTTGAACTCTGACCACACCTTGTCAGGCCCAATCTTACATCTGAAATTAATAGGGAGACGTGGAAGATAACAGAGATCTCAGGAAGAAATGAAATGCCTGAGATACAGTGTATCTCAGGTTCCTATTTTAGTTAGGGAGGGAGGGAGGGAGGGAGAGAGGGAGAGAGAGAGAGAGAGAGATTAAGTCTATTTGCCAGATGCATTGGAATCATGTACGCTATCTCAGTTGATTCTTACAAACACTGTATGAGATGAGTGTTATAGTGTTATTCTCCCTTATAAGTAGGGAAACTGATTCAGAGAAGTTTTGAACTTTTTCAAGTTTGGGCCTTCCCAAGTTTAGACCCCCTAAAACCTGTTTATTTTAAAATAGTTTTATATTTACAAGAGAGTTGCAAAGATAGTACAGAGTGTTCTCATATACCTTTCACCCAGCTTCCCGTAATTTTACCATTTTGCGTCGCCATGTGGATCTAACTTTGAGAGCTTTATTGAGATGTAATTCACCTATTTAAAGTGTACCTTTCAATGGTTTTCAGTTTATTAACAGATGTGAGCTCCCATCACTCCAGTCAATTTTAGAACATTTTTCTGACCTCAAAAAGAAACCCCATGCCCCTTAGCTATCATTTCTTTTCCCCTTCTCCAGCCACCCCATCCCTAAGCAACCACTAATCTACTTTATGTCTCTGTAGATCTCCTGGACATTGTATACAAATAGACTCGTATAATATGTGGTCTTTTGTGACTGGATTTTTCTCACTTACCAACATGTTTTCAAGGTCCATCCATGTTGTATCAAGCATCAGTACTTCATTCTTTTTAATGACTAAATAATATTCCATCGTATGGCTAGAACATCTTTTATTTATCCATTTGTCAGTTGATATATTTGGGTTGTTTTCACCTGTAGACTTTTATGTGTCATGGGCACCTAATCTTGATGGAATCAAAATGTCCACTATATTGCTGATAAAGCTAGTTGAAGAACATGATTTTAGACCTATAAAGACCTGGAGGGTGTCCTAATACATCACTGCTAAATTAAACTGATTTATTCATCCAGGTGCTAACTAGAGACCTTACTATGAGGGCAAGCGCTTAAACTTACGGTGGAGTTCAGACATGCATGTCCTATGGACTTGCCATTTCCAAAAGTGAGAAATGTAGTGGGTAACGCTCAGTTTTCTCTTTCAAACTCGTTGGTAAGGCAATTTGACCCTCTCCCTTAGGGATCAGTAGGGAAGAATGATGACTTAGATTGGGCTACCCCAAAAGCAGACCCTTTAGATAAAGGTGAGAGTTCGAGCAGTTTGTTTGAAAAGTTGCGATAGAGGCCTAGGGAAGTGAAACATGGAAGGGAAGGAAGCCATAAAAGACTTCACTTGTTAGCAAGTTAGCTTTGTAGGTAATTGGGGCACAATCACACTGAGGACTGCTAGGAGACAGTGTAGGCCATGCCTTAGAGTCATACCAACAAGAGCAGTGTGTAAGGCGTCCATCCATCAGTTCCCATCAGTCACTGGGGGTGGGTCAGTAAGTCCAGGCTACCTGTTAGGAGACCAGACATAAGAGTAACAGGTGCTTGCAGTAGGAAGCTGTCGCACTAGCAATGGTGATGCCAGGAGATGTGGTGGGGCACTGACAGCTACAAGGGACTGGAACTTTCCAAGGAGACATTGACTGGTGAGTACAGGAGGCAGCACCATAGCTCTGCACTTACTTGTCTATAAAATGAGAACTAATTCTGTGTTCATTAAATCCTTGATAATTAGAACTGGAATCATATATGAAGCAATATTCCAGTCCAGTCCTACTCCTTTTCAGCTTATTGCCCCTGAAGAGATGTTTGCCCTATTGAGAAATGTTAACATGTGATTATGGTACAGTAGAGAGAGCACATGGAGTGGAGACTGATACTCCTGTGTTCACATCCTGACCCCAACAGGTCGAATCTGTGTGCAAACTGTTTAATCTCTGAGAACAAGCTCTCTCAATCCATAGTTGCCCCACCTCCACTCCAGGCTGGTAACAAATGATGTTTGGTGACAGTGCAATAGCCGGTTCTTAGTGTGAATTCAATAAGTAGTAGGGTTGTTTTGTTTTGTTTTGTTTTGTTTAATATTTCTTACTGGGAGTAAAGAAGAGATGCAACAAAAAATACATTAACTCATTCAACAAATATTTATTAAACCCTTACTATATGCAGAATTCTATTATAGTCATTGAGGTATAGTGGCAGATAATCGAAATCTCTGTCCTCAAGAAACCACCATTCTAGTAAATCACAAACACTGGGATCCTGTTTTTATGTGTGAGGTCCCATTTTTAATTGTCTGGAAAAATAGGATTTTATTTATGTTACTCATTGGGCTTTTGACTTCTCAAAATGTAAGCCTCGTATCAAAAAGTCCCCAAGTGCTTCTCTTGAATTTTTAATCAAACGTATTCTGAGAAGCATTTCTCAAATCTCTCTTTGCTGTTGCATTAGTTGGAATTATTTTGGTCCCAAATGACAGAAACCAATTTTAACTAGTTTAAGGAAAAAGGAAATTTACTGAAAAGAGAGGGTGGATAAAAAGCTGTGGGAAAAGCAAAGACATAGCTGGACCACCAAACAGCTGCAACCAGTCCTGAGACCCTACAGGAAGTCATTTTGCCTCTCACATCCGTCCCTGTGTGGCAGCTTTGCCGTTCACATCTGCAGTGTGGCCTTCTCCACATGGCAGACAGGATGCCTGCTTATGGCTCCTGCAATTTACATCTTGCAGCTTTAACCATTAAAGGGACTGGCCCAACTCTCCCAGGTTTCCCATCTAAAATTCTCAGGGAAGAGATTCTGATTGTTTCAGCTCAGGAAAGGGATTCTGTATTGGATCATTCAGCTTTGTAGTTATATGGCATTCCCCACAGTAATTATATGGCAGCGGACTATGAGTATACTCCTAGAATCCCATAGATACCAACACTATCTGTCAAGACAAGGAATCTGCAGAAGGATGATTCTCACATCATGGGTACCTTTCTGGCAGGAAGCATGTATAAATAGCAGCTCTAAAAGCCAGAGAAATGAGCAAACACTAGAGCTGAAAGAGACCACATCTTACTCAGTCCACACAGGTTATCGATGAGTAGGTCACTTCCTGCAAATTGGTCAAGTGTACTAAAAACAGACACATTGAAAATAGATTATTCACCATTTATGTGTCAGAGCAGTAATAATAATGTCTTTATTGCACATATTAATGTTCTTGAGTGCTTCTAAAGTACTGTGGAATTTCAACACATTTTCCAGTTTCACAGAATTAGTTAGCTCTCCTGTGGAGCAGCTCAGGAGCAATATTGCCATTTTGGAGATGGAATGATTGAGTTGGAAAGGCAAGAGGTGCTGAATTATTCATCTTTTCAATAAGATGTATCAAGCACCCACTCCATGCATGGCTCTGGACTGATGGTTGTGCAGTTTTAAACTGATTAAAATGAAGTTTGCTCTTCTAAGGAATTTATAGCCTACTAGGAGAGGTGAACTTGTAAATAGCTAACTCTAATAGAAGTCAACATAAGGCCCAGCTAGAGGAAGCTATGGGATAGGGCTGGGAAGAAAGTGCAGTGGCAGAGGCCCATGAAAGCCATAAGAAATTTTGTCTTCATCATGAGGAATCATCATTAAAATTAATATGTACATAATATGCATATATGCATAATGTATATAATATATGTATATATAGAGAATTTTTATGAATTCATTTAAATGGCTAGTCCTCCAATTTTTTAAAATAAATAATAAACCCATTTCTCTCACCCTCGACCCCTGCTTCTAGCAACCACCAATCTGTGCTCTGTATCTAAGAGTTTGTTCTGTTTTTGTTTCCTAAATCTACATGAGTGAGACCATACAGTATTTGTCTGTATTTACCTGACTTATTTCACTTAGCATAAGTGAATGCCCTTGAAGTCTATCCATGTTGTCACAAATGGCAGGAATTCCTTCTTTTTTATGGGTGAATAATATTCCATTGTTTGTGTGTATCGTATTTTCTTTATCCATCCATCCATCCATCAATGAACACTTATATTGTTTCCATGTATTGTAAATAATGCTGCAATGAACATAGGGGTGCAGACATATTATTGAGATAGTGATTTCATTTTCTTTGGATAAATACCCAGAAGTGGAATTGCTGGATTATATGGAAATTCTATTTTTAATTTTTTGAGGACCCTCTATTCTGCTTTCCATAGTGGCTGCACAAATTTACATCCCAGCTAGTCCTTCAACTCTTAATGAAATGATCTCAATAAATGGAAGAAAAAAAATGATCCACTTACCTAAATTATTCAAATGATGAGCTAGTTCACTAATTTATTTTGCCCTGTGAGTTCAGGATTAAAATACATAATATCGTATGAAGACTAGATTGTTTGTATAATGGACAACGCTTAACTGTTCAGATTTTCATTATCCAGGTAAGGGCTGATTCCTACTGGGGCTCTCTTTGTGAGTGGAACTGCCATGAAGTGAGGAAATCTATGAGAAACTGTGGAGAGATAGACATGGAGAGGCTCTCCTGGTAAGAAACTGCGGTCCCTGGTCCTCGGCTCCTGTTGAATGCCAACAGGCAGCACAGTCTCCCAGGCATGTGAATGAGCCATTGGGGAAACAAATCCTCCTATTCTGAGTTTAATGGCCCAAAGCTGACACTGAACGGGCCAGAATGAAGCCTTCTTCTTTGAGCCTTGTCCAAATTCCAGATTCAGGCTAATAAAAGATTATTATTATTTTAAGCCAAGAAGTTCTAGGGTGGTTTGTTATTAAGAAAAAGTTATCTGGAAACTTTTTCACAAAGAATTCATGACATGATCCCATCTGTTCATTAGATGGCAGGGTTTTAGGAACTCCAATTATTCAGATTACAGAAACTTCACTCAGGGGCTCCTAGGAATGTATTTCCATTTCTCTCCAGGGTTTCGGAGGAAGAATACAATTGAAAACTCAAGGAATTTCTTTTACATGCAAAATTTCTGAAACATTGCTTTTTAAAACGATGCACTCCTATTTCAAAAAAAAAGAAAAAAATTGTTAAGCTAAAACCACCAATAAGTGATATTTGCTTCTATATTTCTGTAACGTTTGTAATATACACAGACAAGCTTTACAAAATCTTCACCTCTGACCCAGAGAGGCCGCTACTGTTGATGTGAAGGTCATCGAACCTCATGACTCTTCAATGATAGGCTTTCTTCTCTAAATCACTAATCAAAAGTTATAAATATAGCTTCTGATACCTCTTCTCTCCTTTTTTTTTTTTTTTCTTTTATATTGGCTGTCAAGACAAGGCAGGGCAGCAACCAATCAGCTCTTCATATTAAACAACATATTTTGCTGAGCTGGACTTGACTCCTGGTTGCTACAAAACAAATCTAAGTTTATATCAGAGGTGACAAACTCCATGCCCTGTCATTTATCCTTTTTATAGCATGGGTGACACCAATAGTCAGCAAGTCTTGTTGATGATTATGTGAATCAACTAAAGCAGAAAACATCCAAGTCTAGAAATTTCCTGTGTTCATAGTTGCTTAGAAATTGTGATTTTTTTAATAAAAAGAAAATGAAATTAAAAACAAATTCCACTGCTTTTGATTACTACACAAGTTTTTAAAAAGAAACCCATAATTCTAGTATTAACAGATAAACACTATTAATACTGGACTGCATATTACTCCAGACATGAGTATAAATGTATACATATGTAAAAAAAATGCATTATACTGTGAACTCACTTTTATACATTTAATAATTGCCAAAAAAATAAAAAACACACATTGAGATTGTACTACATACTAGGCACTGTACTAAGTGATTCTTAAATATGATTTCATTTTAAACACAACAACACTATCAGGTAAATCACATCAATCCAATTATACAACTAAAGACTTTGAGATCAAGATCATAGCTAGCAAGTAAAAATGTCTGGCTCCAAACCTAGACCTGTCAACTCCAGGTTATAATTTGTACTATTCTATCCCTAATCTTGTGCAACTGATTTTTTTCAACTAAAGTTATATCATAACCATCATTTATAACACTCTTTACCTATTCACTTACAATAACAGTTTAATAGCTGACTAGTATTCTATTTACAGCTTTTCAAAATATTTCACCATTCCTTCCTTTCTTGTTAGACATTTGAGCTTGTTTCTAATTTTCTACTAGTACAAACAACACTGCAATGAATATCCTTGTAGATCAATCTTGTTTAAACATCCTTAATTATTTTCTGAGGCTGAGTTTCTACAAGTAGAGTCATTGAGACAATAGCATGCAAAAATTTTATGCTTTCGATAGTAGTGCTAAATTTCCCTTTGGAAAAATTATACTAAATTACATACCTGTCATCCTATACATCTGTTCTGGGTCCTAAAACCTCATTTAAAAAAACAAATATGTAAATAAATAAACAAAACTTCAAACCACAACCTTTCCAATCACAGTATCATCTTAGAAATAGGAGATATCTTGGGAGTTATCTTTTTCTAATCCCTTATATATTCTGGATCTTTTTCATAGTGCATCCCTGATCTGGGGTGTCCATCCTATGTAATTTATAGAAAGTGGGGACAGAAAATTAAAAAAAAAAAGATTTTAAATAGCCCTGAAATGCAAAACACATTTCTTACCTCTCAGCAATGACATATTGCCCAAACTATTCTAAAATTCATCCAAGATAAGTGGAAATAAGGAAACCTTGGCCAGCTTTCAACATACTTGACACAGGTCACGAAATGATAAAGATTTTTTGGTCATTATCCACCTGGACTGGGTTTGCTCTAGGTGTTGGCAGCTGAGTAGGTATCTCTTGCTCTTTGCAGTTGAGCAACAGCTTGGTTTCCTTTGCCTTTGGAAATTCAGCAAACAGAGGTAGGGTGGTCAGCCGGAGAAGATTGCCTAGAAAGAAAAATAAATTAGTTTCACATTTCTACATTAAAGGGGCTGTGAGTATAACTTTGTGTGTCCTCTCCTCCCCCCAGACTCTTAAAAATTTCATTACTGAGTCCCTTTAATTCTAGAGACACTGGGATTTAGCTGTTTAAAGGAGAATATGACCTTCAATTGGTTAAGCTTTCCTTTACCCATTAGATACAAAACAATGCTGGATCTTGCAGTGGAAACGAAATAAAATAATAAAATAAAATAAAATAATAATACAGGTGAGTGAAGCAATAGAAGTCTATAAAAAAATCTATAAATATGTAAGTGCTGCAAGTAACTGGCAAATACAACTGTGATAGCAAAGAGAAGGGAAGGATGAAGTCTGCCTGGGGGAAGAGGCGAGGGGTGGGGGTGGAAAAGGGCTATGCAAATGGTGGTATTTCTAGAAGCTGGGAAGGCCAATTTCTCTGGCCCTATTTTTTTTGTTTGTTTGGTTTTGGTTTTGGTGCAGATCTGATCATTTAAATCATGAAATAAGAACATTACTAAAACCAGTAACTTGCTTTAATCTGAAAACACACACACACACACTTTATAAGGAGCCCATAGACTCCATTTCAGCTGCACATTCACAGTTATCCCTGGAAGAAGAGGAAATACTGACTTCCTCTAACACCTTCTGGTTTGAGAAACTGAACTGGCTGGGGTTAGGGATCGGGGGCCACGACTCAACCTCAAAAACTTGGGGTTTCTGAAACTGCAGAGGCTCCTTCTGAGTTCTGATCATGGCGCCTTCAAAGGGAATATTCTACCTTATTCATTCTCCCCCCAGAATAACCTAGTACGGTACACGGCACCCAGTAGGAGATCATTTGTCTAGTGGATTTTAAGCATCCTCCTTTTTCCCCATTAGAGGACAAGCAGTCCATCCCCATGTTATGCTTCTTTTGCCAGCTTAATTTAGCTCCGATCTCAGTAGTTAGTAAAACAGGGGAAAGAATGGGGCCGTAACATCCTGAGAGTGGAGCTGCGCAAGGGGGTGTGAGGAAGGAAGGCGAGGGCGGCAGAGGGTGCTAATCCTCCCACCTCGGCTCATCTCCTCCCTCAGCAAACGTTCAGACCCCGCCCTCTGTCTCCATCCCGGACCCCCGCCCGGGAGGTCGGAGGGCAGCGCGGGCGAGGCGGTGGCAGGGTTCTGTCACGTTCATTCCCTGCCGCTTTTCCTGTCCCCGACCTCCTAGCCCCTCCTCCCTTATCCCCAGTTGGGGTTTGGAGGCGATTCCCCTCTAGTGACTGAGCCGATTGCATCTGGACGAGCGGCGCTTCGCCTGGCTCGCGTCTTTGTCTCCTCCTTCTGCTAGGCTCCCGGGCCCGGCGCAGGGTCTGCAGCGGCCGCCGCAGCAGCTGGAGCCAAACCGTGCCCTGCGCCGCCGCCCGGGGCCGCACCCGCGCTGGGTGGAGGCGCGGGAGGACGCCAGCCGGGCCACTCACCGCCCGCCCGCGTCCCGCGCTCCAGCTGCGGCGCACCAACGCCGCCGCGGCGGCCGGGAAATCATCCCGCCCCGCACGCCGGGTCGGGGGTGGGCAGCCGGGCTAGCAGCTGGGTGCGGATAGCGGCCGATGCAGCTCTGGCAGCGCGCACACCCCCAGGCATAGGCACCCAACGCCTCCTCCCTGCGCCACGAGGATGGAGCAACCACCCCGGCCTGGGACTGGCGCAAGGTAAGGTGCTGCCGCCTGTTGCTTTTCGCAAAGAGCGGTATTGTCCCTCTCTGCCCGGGTGCCTAGGCCGTTCCTACCTGAACAACTAGAGGAGAACTATCACACCAGTTCTGAGCCATGTCCAAACCCCTTGGTCCCGTTGGCGCATATCCTTGGAGAGACCCCTCCTGGCGAGGGGGAGTCGACCCCCTTTGACCCCATGCAGCCGGCTGCAGTGCAGTAGTCTGCAAACTTTTGTGACCCCCCCACCTCCCTGCGCGGTGCTTACCCCGTGCCGTGCAAGTTGCACGTCTAGTTCTCTCGTGCGCCTTCCCCACCCCACCCCCCCCTTGCCGTGTACATCTGCCCATTTCTCTCTGTGTGTTCTTGCCAGTCGACTTTTCACCCCTGCAGCTCCCGCTAGGGAGGCAAGGGTTTGGGACCCAGCAGTGCTCCTGCTGCCTGTAGGGGCTGGTTAGGAGCCGAGATGGTGGAATAGGAGAGGTGGGAAGTGGGGGAAGGCTGCGGCTACCCCTGGGGCTCTGTCCAGCGCGGCGGGAGTAGGTCCATCCTTGAGTATGCCACCCCCAACTCGGTAAAGAAACCCTTGGAGGGGCTTGCGGCTGTGCGCTGTGGGAGCACGGCAAGTGCAGATCCGGGTGGATGAAGTAAGTGGTTTTGAGAGGGAAAAGGTTGCTGGTGCGGGTGGTGAGGAGAAAGCTGAGGGTCGGGGATAGATCTGGTTGAGGGGCTACCAAAATGCTCTGCTAATGTGGGCGAGGGGCCAGCCCCGAGCAGTCATCTGATAGGAAGGAAAAGGGATTTGAGTCCGGAGGGCGCTGGCCCGGGTGTGTAAATACAGGTGGGGGAGGGGCTGGGTACTTGGGGAGGCGCAGAGAGGTGGAATGGAGCCCTGGAATGCCGGGGGCACCGGGGGACTTGGGAAGGCAGGCTTCTGGGCGACTGGGATGGGGCGATCTCCCTCTCAGGAGAAACCTCCCGGCGAGATTTGAACGCGTTGGTGTCTTGGGCGGTGACTGAGTGGTTAGATCATGGACCAGGGATGCTTTTCCTGGCTCTGAGAGGACCTTAGTCCCTCCTTTCTCCGGCACCGGCTTCTACACCCTTCCATCTCTGCAGCCGGGTCCATAGACCCACGCCCACCTTCCCTGCGGGGCGCTCCAGAATTAAGGATGTCTTCTTAGCTGCAGGGTGGGAAGGGGGTTTCTGGCCCCCAGAGAGAGGCCTGTGTGCGGAGTAGGGGAAAAGTCCCCAGCGCCAGGTGAGTAGACAGGGGTCTGAAACTGGTTGGAGGACAGCGAAGGGGCGGAGGCTGCAGTGGGAGGCACATTCCCCTCTCCTCCCCTCGGCAAATCGCACCTGGGCGGAGCAAGGTAGTAGAGGAGCCCCATGCTGAGCCCTGGGGCTCTAGAGCGCAAAGTTGGAGGGCTCGCAGGTCGAGGGCGTGTGGGCATCAGATGAGGGAAGACCCGGCTCCCAGACCCGGGGACCTTCCCAGAGGTGGGTCTGTCCACCTTGCAGCCCCTAGGTAGATCCTTACGGTTGTTCCAGAAGCTTTGGCCGCTTTGGCCGACGATAGAAGGCGACACTCTTTCTTCCTTTGCACCCCAGCAATCTGGGATGGAAGAGCATTTGCGGGAGGGGGCCTAGACTGCTGTTGCAAAGGAGGGACAGCCCGCGGGCACCATTTATCCTGGTGGGGAATATCCTGCGCCGTCAAAGGCCTAGACGCACCTCATTTAACCCTTCTCTCTTTGAGTTGGTGCACGCCCCTCTCCAAGCAGCGCCTTTGGCTGAGAGCCCGGTTCTCGGTTCCTACTGTACCTATTAAAGAAGAATTTGGAGGTTGAGTGGATCTGGAGCCGTATAAAACCTTCTGGTCTTCCCTGTTCAAACCTCCCACGTGCAGGCGTTTAGGGGCACAACCGTCTCTGCGGTGGCCCTGTAGACGCCTCCTGCTCTCCAGTACCAGCTGGGAGAAAGCAGAGCTCAGCACCGTCCCCTTCTGGGGGGGGGGCATGCTTTGGCCAGACCCTTCCAGAACAGACGTCGACAGGCCAGGGCCCCCGGGAGGAATCTCGAGGTCTGTCCCCTGCCGGGGCAGCCCTGGAGCAGCGAGGTCCCTGTAGCCCCGCTGCAAGCTTCAGAGCCCCAAGGCGCGGGATTCCGGATCCCCTCCGCGCAGGCTCCGGGTGCAGCTCCGGAGCACAAAGGCCACACCCTCACAGGCCAGGCGTCGGGGGATAGAGCACTGGCTTCTTCCGAATTCCCTGGATACCTGAGGTAGGACCCCAGAATTAAGTCCCTCACTTGGCAAGATTCAGCTTCCGACGCCCCAGAGCCCTTTTCTTTCTGGAAGCTTATCACCTGGATTTGTGTTCAGGCCACTTCCCTTTGCCTAGACACAGGTTGGAACATGTCCTTTGAGAACACACATGAAGGAAGACTTCAGAGCCACACCAAGGAGGTGTTTCTTCAGGGTGCCGAGCTATTCTGGGGAGACAGGTATTAATCAGTGCCAGCATATATCGAGCCCTTACGCTGTGCCAGGCAATCGTCTAGATATTATTGTATGTGCACTTGTTTTAGTTTCAATCCTCACAACAACCCTGGAAGATAGTTAAAGTGATTTTTCCCCATTTTATTGGTGACAGAGCTAAACCATGAAGAAATCATTTGCTCATAGCCGTCCAGCCAGTAAGTGATGGGACTGGGTCCTCTTGTGGGTGGAGAGCACTGGGATGCTCCCAGCCCTATTTGATACTAAAGACCCTTTGTCCACATGGAAGAGTGGGTGAGGCCTCCAGCCCCTTACTCCAGATCCCAGGGCCATACTCTTAAGTGTCAGCCCTTTCTCCTGTGAGCCTCTGTGGCTGTGGCACTGGGGAGACTGATGGTACATCTCACCTCCCCTCAGGGTCTGTTGGGGTGCACGTTTGTTAAGATGGGATCCTGGTGCTGGAAGCAGGTTTAGGGAACTGGCTACTGGCATTGGACTTCTTTCTTGAAGCTTTTGGTAGACATTTCCTTTTTAAATGTGAGGAGAAGTGGAAGGAGGGCATCCAAATGTGAGCAGTTATTTGCTCTGTGGCCCCAAACTGCAGAGACTGTGCTCTGCAATGGAGTCTCTTTCTGGTGATTGGACGACAGAATAGTAGAGCTAACGGAGACCTCAGATTTCAGCCCTCCCAATCCAGGGGCAGGGAGGGGATTCAGCGATGTGCTCAGGGCCATTCAGTGTGTCCCTAGTGTAACTAATACTGGAAACAATGTCTTCTGACCCTTGGTCAAAATAAACTGTGTTTGTGCCTAAATACATGGCGTTCACTGCAGCTGTTTCTCAGCATCTTAAAATTAATTAGGGAAAATTAATTAATTAGGGAAAAACTTGTTTGTTAAAAAATAGACCATTTTGCTGATTTTTCATCAATGCCTCCATCAGCATAACCAGAAAAAGGCACTATCATATAATTGATAAACCACCACAAATGTACCTCTTTTGCAAATGATTGCAGTAGAATATTCATAAGCCCTCAAATCAACAAAAATCAACTTGCCTTTCAGACGATTCTAAATAAAAATTAAGTAGACTCGCAACCATTCTGGCAAACTCCTTCCGTTGTGTAGATTTGTCCTGCCCCATCCCCAGGTATCTATGAAAATAAGAGAAAATATGGTAAATCCGAGGGAAATTTCCATTGGAATCCAATGAGATGATTTGGTATTATTTTTTCTGGATTTCTGACCCTTGGGTGAAACGTTAGGCTGATGTAAATCTGAGGCAAAATATTATCTTTCCAGTAGATATACTCAGGGCTCAGAAACGGGGAAAAATAGTTCTTTGCCACTTTCTTACCCACTGAGCCCCTTTAACAAAGGGGACTTTCTCTCCGTAAGCATAGGGATTCCATACACCCCTAGGCATTCTTGTAGGACAGAATTCTGATGTCTAAGAACATCCCATGTCTTTTCTCTGTAGCAGCAGTACCAAGATGCCTTTCCCCTGGAGACAAACCAACAAAAAGTCAGCTGGAGTAATCAGAGAGGGGGATGGGGAAAAAGCCTGTTTTTCAGAATCACATCAAGGGGGTAAGAGTTACAGGCAGATGGTGGAAACGTGGTGCATTTATGTCACCTGGAACAGGATTTTTGTCCCCGATGCTGTGACAAGCCAGGACAGAAGCCCTCCAGCAGTAACTAGGGGTGGAGGAGGAAGAGGTGAGGGTGAGAGAACAGTGCTATCCTGCAGGCAACGGGTTGGGAGAGATGACGCTTGGCTGCTTAAGGGCTTAGGTGTGATGGAAATGGTCATGGAGAGCCTGCACTAAGGGGTGCTCTCCTCCCACCACCTCAACCTGCCATCTGTGTTGGGTTGGCTAATCTGCATGCCAGAGTCCTTGGTTATCTCAAGGAAAGCATTCGCTTTCTAGAGAACTCATTAGAAATGAACACTGTTTTTATGTAAGTAGGTGAAACTATGCACAACTGCCCCACTCTTCAGGGAGAACCATTAAACATCAGATCACCCCAGAAGGGTAACCCTCTGAATGTGGGGATGCTGGTTTAGTTGGATTACAACGGTGTTAGAGAAAAACAGGTGTGACATTGAAATTAGGTAAGACAAAATCTATAAGAAATGGTTTGTTTTTTAGGAACCACAGAAAAAGAATATTTTTGCACCAGGGCATATATCCTGGTTCCCAATTTTCTAGCTTTTTCTGGGGTTATAGGAGAGTTAGCTGTATCCTCATCGTAATTTTGTGATCCACATCCCCTCTACTGAGTTTACTTCTGTGTGCTGTGGTGTTAAGCAGTCCACACAACACTTCTGATGGGACAATTCTTTGGGCGTGTGTTTATCTTAAATCGTATAAATATGAGCTTGTTGAATGACAATTACTATTAAGCAACATGCTCCGGAAAAAAAGGTTATGAAAAAAAAATTTATTCAGAAAACAGTGAATAAATATGTTTATGCAATACATAATGTGAACTCCAATTCTCAGTTAGGTATTTAAAAAAAAATAACAAGAACCAGAGAACCTGAACTTGACCTATTTTTGATAACAAGAGAAGCCAAATAATAAGGTTCTGTGGAGTTTGAAGAAGACTTTGGCAAGGGGGAGAAAAAAAGATGATCAAATAGAACCTGAGAAGCCTTAGCTTCATGTATTTTATTTTAAATAAATGTGTAATATCTTAATCTATATTTATATTTGAATAACTCATAAAATTAACAAAGTTTGTATTCTGCAGATTGTGATTTTGATGAGCTTTATAGTTCACAAGTTGTTGAGAACCAGGATGGAAGCTCTTATATCTCATATACTAGTTATAGTTATATATGCTTTGTAAAACCTCAGTGAATTAATATATCACAACATGTCATATGAAATAGCCATTTTTTTATG